CCGAAGGTAGTGCTGATCCAGCTACACTGACTGGCGTGGGCAAGGGAAAAAATAGGGATGTTCATGCATTTTCTCCGGACGGGTCTAACTCCAGGCTCGGGTACGTGTCAAAGAGGTGACGATTCCACGCCCCAGTGTGGGCACTGCGGGCAGCGCTCTTGCCAAGTACCGTAAATGGCTGCCTAGAGGAAATCTGCTTTTCTGGGCCATGGCTGCCTTTGTGCCTCTGTGTTGCTGCGCTGTCTTTGTTTCACTTCCACAACAGTACGACTGAAGCAAATACAGTTCGTGAGGTTCCTCTTACAGTCGCTCCGTCATTGCTTGCCATTTTCCTCCTTTATACCGTCCATATTTAATAATAAATCAGCTTCGTGTTAAAAATATGAGTCCCTTTTGTCCTCTGCTCAGGTAATAAGACAACTGCAGATACTTTATATTTGCTAGCAACAGGGAGCAGGTTAGAAACCTGCAGCCGTTTCCAAAGACGGGCAGACACCTGTGTTCAGCCAGGAGTCAGCTGCCCAGCAGTAGCACTCACAAAAATAACTCACTTTAACACAAGCAGTCTTACTTGAAAAGAGCTGCGCCTGTCAAAGTTGGTGAAAAGCAGCCATGACCCGTGCCATAGTCTGGCGTGACATCACGATGACAATTCTGCATGAGCGTATTAATCCAGTTTTCACTGTGAATGTTTTGCGGCACACCTGGGCAGAAACCACGGCCGTAAGCGCCAGCAGGCCTGTGCCTGGGCATCGGGGTACATGGCCAGCTGCCTGGGCAGACGTTCACCTCGTGTTTCGGCAGGGAGGGCGAGCTGCCTGGCTCACGGCGCGGGGCTGGCTTTCCACCTGCTGCTGTCTGAACCGTAACTCACAACAATGGTATCCAGCACTTGTGAGGAGAAACTGCCACTCCAAAGAAATGCAGTCTCACTAAGAAAAAACAATCTGAGATGGAGTGTTCCTACAGATCTGTGCAGGTCACGGCGGGGAAAACCTCCGTATGCTTTAACTTCTCACTTTAAAGTGCATCGCAAGGAGCTGTGGTTTTTTGGTCTCACTCCCTCAACAGCCCAGCAGCCTTACGCAGCTGAGCTGCCATTCACCTCAAGGTGTAAATACCAGTTTGAAACTATCTAATGTAGATATTCAAATATCCCATAATGCCAGTTTCCCACAGCAAGACTATTCCCATAAAGATACACTGTAAGTTTGTTGATGAGTATGTACAGGACTCGTGACCATTTCTATAAAGCCTGAAGATTCTCAAAACCAGGGCCGAGGGTGGGCGCGCCCGGCTGGCCTCGCCGCTGAAGAAAAAAGGTGGGAGTACCCTGCCGCCCGGACCCTTCGCTCCAGCCCAGCCGTGGAAGCAGGGCCGAGCTGACACCTGGGCTTTGCTTCCTTGCGGGCTCGCGTACGGCGCTGCTCCTGGAGGGAAAACAATTTCCACGGGCTTCAGTACAACCCTCCTGCGTTCTGCGCGTGCCCTCCTAGCCAGCGCGGGTCTGTCGCACGCCCTGCCCACAGGCGAGAGCCGAGGCGTGTGCTTCAGCGCTGCGGGCAGGGCTGTGCCCGGAACGGGGCTGACCGATTCCTTCAGCTGGACGCAGGTCTTTGGCCGGCTCGCGCGCTTCTGTTGGGGGTTACTCACTGCTTTGGACACGGAAGCTTCCGCCTTAGTGTTAGATACCATTTGACGGTGAAGGTTCTTGGCAGTCTTCGGCTGTGTGCCGCCACCAGTAACATTACTTCTGTGGTGTTTTACTTTGGGTTGCTTTTTCTTCTCTTCCTTTGATTTTTCTACAATGCCGTCTAGCAGTCCTTTTGCTGCAGCACGAGCTAGAATGTCTTTAGTAGACACATTTTCAGAAAAATCTTTCTGAAAATTTCAAAGGAAAACAACAATAAATCTAAGCCACAACACGAGCTCTAAACTCACTACTTAAATCCCAGATTCCTCAGAATTCATTCCATGAGAAAACGACAGCAGAATCTAACAGAAAGACTGAACTCCCATGTGATAAATGCTAACTGAACTATTTATTTGAGAAATTAAGAATGTGACTGTTGTGACGAGTGGTATCTGAGCATCTGCTCCTCAGAGACTTTGCACTCGACAGGCCTGAAGAGGAGAAACTGAGTTCTGGACTTGGTACTGCACGTCTCCCACACTGACTTGCTCTGTAACGCATCTGTAATAGCACATGTATGTGTGTACCTGTGGGTGTATCAGAAATAATTACTAAAATACAGAAGTATCAATAACATTGAACATGAATAATTTTCATTATAATGAAAATCCTTGCTCATAATATGTAAGCAAGGAACTCTCAAGCTAGATTAACTAGGAACCAGGTCAATAAACAAGTATGTAAAGAGAAGCAATGGGCAAGAAACCATTTACAATGAGGGTGGCGAAACACTGGCACAGGTTGCCCAGAGAGGTGGTAGATGCCCCATCCCTGGAAACATTGAAGGCCAGGCTGGATGGGTCTCTGAGCAACCTGCTCTAGTTGCAGATGTCCCTGCTTGTTGCAGGGGGGTTGAGCTAGATGACCTCTAAAGGTCCCTTCTAACCCAAAGCATTCTATGATTCTATCAATGAGCCAAGAAGAGGAGCAGGTACCTGAAAACCAGAAACTGCAGTTGAAATGCTGCTCAGTGTACAAGATTTATGCCTGACAGAAACCACTCATTATTTCCAGGGTCACCTAAAAGCTGGCCACTGATGCCATGAGGAGCAGCTGGTTCTGTCCAGTAGAACCTGACTCAAGAATTATTCAAATCAACTATAACTGAAACAAGTGTTTCTTTCTCTGGAGGGAGAGAATATGGTAGACAGATGTACACAGCGTGATTAACTACAACTTACTAGCTCAGGGAGCCAGTTTAAAACATACTCTGCATTGCAAAGAGGTCAATAATAGATAACTTGAAAGGCTTTTCATGTGTGATTCTCTAATAAAATCATCCTCTTCTAATTCTCCCCACGACCCAAGCTTCTTTCAAGCACTGTAACTGCAGTATGACAGACAGAAGGTGGTACAAATAACCAAGATCTCATATCTTTAATTTTCAATGAAATCCTAATTAGCTTCCCCCTTCCCCTTTTGGTGAAAAAAGTCCTACTTTTCTCAGACACAAGAGGAAAATGTTGATGCTCAGCGATGCAAACAAGCCCTTTAAGGCATTTCTTCAGGTATCATTCCAAGACTTCTCCATTTACTCAGCGACAGCCCCCTGCCTTTCAAGCCAGATTTGTGTATGCCTTAGTTATGGAAGGAAACACATTCATACCTGTTTTATTCAAATTATAGGGAAGACTTAATCCCTACTGGTGCCACCGTCTGCTTCGACACTAGCAAATTCTGGTGAGGCATACAGACATAACAAATAAGGTCACTGAACGGGAGTGAGTCTAATCCAGCTGCGTGCTTCATTCCAAGGTGCGACAGCAACAATCTATTTCCCTCAGAAGCTCCTGCCACTGACTTAGATCAAGACACCGCTCTGACCGCAAACAGCTCCAGACAAAAAGGCACCCGCTGGAAAGCTCTGCTCAGCGTAAAACTCTACGAGCTGCACATTTCAACTGCTCGCCTATTCTTTGGTCTTTTCAAGACAACTAAACAAGAGACAAGAGGGTTTTTTAACGTTCCGTTTCATGTATTCTTTTGTGGAAAATGGCAAGGCTCCTTTTCTGTGACGCGTTTTTACATGGTGTTTTTCTTAGCTTACCTCTCGTGCCAGAACAGCTAGAAAACAGCAACCGGAAAATTCTGATGGCTCCATTTTGAAAAAAATTTCAGTGGAAGTCTTTGAATTGGAGCAGGTAGAAAAAACAGGAGGAATAAGCCTGTAAAAAATAAACAAATGAACAGAAGATAACGTTTAAGGATATAAAAGGAAATAAACAAGGACATATTAAAAGTAATGTCCAAGTTATGTCTTTCAGTGACACTTTACAGAGCCTTATCTTAATTTTTTAAAACTGCAATTCAAGGAAGACATGAGAATTCATCTTTTTAAAAATCATTCTTGTTTTTTATTTTTTTCCAATAATTCCATTTTTCCCCAATAATTAAGTATATTAATCACCAGGTAATAAAGGTGCGGTAACATTATTAACAACTACGTTATTTCTCAGGTCTGCAATTACTAGATTATCAAGTTGTCCATGAAGTCGAGGAATGCTCTGAAAACACGGAGCAGTACACAGAAATTGCAAAGGTGTTGACTTTGAGTCATTAAGTATATGCTCATAATAAATAATATACCTATCTAAGCTAAAAATCGTAAGTTAGAAAAATGTGCCCATTTGTAATAATTGAGTGCTGCGTTTTCAAACTTACAGCATCAGTGAGGAAGGAAGCGCTAGCCTTCTCTCCTGTTCTCCCTGGATTCCACCAATCCCTAGCTGTTACAGACAGAATCACAGAATCACAGAATGGTAGGGGTTGGAAGGGACCTCTGTGGGTCATCTAGTC